GGAAAAATAGATTGATAAAGAAAAAATATTTTAATTGAATTGGATTTACCAATTTTATTCAAATTGTTCATTATATTAATTTTAATTTTAATAAGAGACATCAGAACTTAAACCCAAATGATAAAAGTACAACATGGAATTATTATTATTACATTGCAATTAATTTATTTGCTTAATCGTAATAAATTTATAGAAAATTTTGTGATGCAAAATAATATTATTATATTATTATCATCGGATTCGGGTGACGGATACAAGCTCTAGTCTCATGAATATTTAGTTTTGAGGCAGTCAAACAATCATTTGAAGAGGCAAGATATGCTAAAAAAAGATTTCATACATTCATAGATTCATCCATTGGTTTAAAAAGACTTGCCAAGATTTTTCGGTAACCGCAAATATTGTTTTGCCTTTATTGCAATAAAATAATCGGCATGTCCCAAGTCAATTAATTACCAGTCAAAAGTAATGGCGTTGATGGAATAGGATATAGTTCAAATGCAAGTTCTGTATGGTAAAAGGCTGCAAACCTTATAACAATGATCGCCGTGGTTACTCGAGAAGTTAAAGAGTATCAATATTTAGATCATTTATGACACAAATATACGGAGACTATATTCCATGGACTATTTGAGCATTTATGACACAAATATATGGAGATTATATTCCATGGAGTATTTGAGCATTATATAATTATAAAAAAATCCTATCATTCCCGATATCGACACCATTCCTAACGGATATTAAGCATCAAGATACCTTTATAATAATTTAAAGATATTACTTCTCCAAACCAACATATAATGTTAATAAATGATATTTTTATTCAGTAATTAAAATTTACAATGAATCAATTCCTTATTTTATTGGTTCAATAATTATTACTAAAAGAAAAAAAGAGAAATTTAGATTTTGGTTAACTGGATTTTTATTTAATTGCTTCTCTGCTTGCCGAACTTGAGCCGATTTCTGCTCGATTTGCTAATTTCCAACTCTTCTGTGTTTTCTTGATATTTTCGCGGAGGAATTTTTTCTTTTTGCTCTTGATTTCCTGTAATATTTGGATTTTTCTTTCCGACTTCTTAATTGGTTTTCTTCTCATTATTTCTTGGAGATAAATTCAATAAATACTTATCGCTTTTTTTTTATTGCTTGTTTTCTGTGTTTAAACAGTCTATTTTTTTGTCCTTGTCTTATATTTGGGCATGTTGTTTCTCTTTTTTCTCTTGTTTCTTTGTTTCTCGCAAGTCATTAAGAACTTTGCCTTTAACTTGGATTGATTCGTAATTTAGTTCCTTTAATGATTGAATTAGTTTCCAAACTTATTATTATTTTTCGTTTTCTCGTCATTCTGGGTAAAATTTCGAGAATTTTCTCTTTCATTTCTCTTTTCTTCTACTTTGCTCTTATCTAAACTAATTCAGCAATTTGGGCCTCTAGCTTTTTTTTTCTTTCTTTCAATTTCATCCAGTTTATTCTCTATATCAAATAATTCCCTAGATAAACAATCCTGTGTGCCTTTTGAGGATTTTTCAATTCCTCCTAATTCAATAGTTTTCCAAACTTCCTCCAAATATTCGATCTGATATTACTTTTACAGAATAATTTTGTCTCTTTCATTATAAAACTTTTCACATAAATATTTCCAACATTGGCTAAATCCAAGCATGTCATTTTCTCTTGAGTAGTTAACATGATATGTATAATATTTTACATACATTATATATAAACGTAATCAGCATGTCCAAGGATCTAATGCAAAACTTCAGTCAGTAATTTAAAAGATGAAGATTTTGAAAAGGCGGCAGCAAGATATAATAATAAGACATCATTAGTATTAGTGGCAAATTTCAACACTTTGAACCCTGAATTATTTTGTGACATAATGTTCACTTTGTCTGGTTTTGTTACAGTCTGTCTCATATATTGATATTAA